GGTCTCGCCAAGTTGCCTGGGCGGGTCTCGAACCCGCAGGCTCAGGCAATCCACTCGCCTTGGTCTCCCAAAGTGCTGGGATTACAGGCTGAGCCACCAAGTGATTTTTTATTTTATTGTAGAGACAAGGTCTCACCAAGTTGCCCGGGCGGGTCTTGAGCCCGTGGCGTCAGACAATCCACTCGCCTCAGCCTCCCAAAGTGCTAGGATTACAGTCTCAGCCACCGAGCCTGGCCTCATTCTGAAGTTTTAAGTAATCCATTTGCACATTTAAAAATTCAAACAGTACCAAAAAGTAAACCATGAATGTCCCTCCCATCCCAGCCACCCAGGCTTCTTCCCAGAGGCAGCTGCTGTTGCTTCCTGCTCTCTGTCCACACAGAGTTTATGGACACGCCATCCATCACGTACATGGATACGTGGCGTCCCCCTCTCTCAGATGCTGTTGGAAACGTTCCACACACCCTCCTGTTTGCTTCACTCAACACTCTGAAGGCCATCCCCTACCTACATACTTAGACCTGCCTCCTTCTTAGCAGTTTTTTCTTAGCTCATTTTGCTTTACTTTATACTGGAAAATTTCACATAGCTATAAAATTAGGGAGAACAGTCCAAGAAACAGTTGAACCCCCGTAAGCGGCGCAGCTCGTTTTTGAGGGTGCTACTTCTCCATCGCCATTTTCACCCTAGTCGTGCCTAACCTTCCCCCATTACCAAGCACCGACTCGTCAGAACACACTCGGGTGCTCACACGGGAAGCTTCCGTCGACCAGCAGCCCCATCTGTATGGTTCCGTGAGACAGAGCTGCTCCTGCGCAGACTTTTCACCTGAATGGATGCACCCGCCCCACAGCAAGGTTCATCCCCAACACAAACCTCTCTGGCTCGGAGACTGTGTAATTAGCTGCACCACTTTTCGCAAACAGACCAGCTTCTGCTGTGGGGAGGTGCATCTGTTCAGCTGAGCCAGCTCTCTCTTTGCACGAGGTATGTTGAAGCTGTAAAACGATTTGAGAAGTGACAACTTCAGACCCTGGGGGAGGATCCTTCTTCCTGGACCTCATAGCATGCCCCAAGTGATACGTTTCTTACAGCAAACGCTAAGTCATGAAACACAAAAACAGGTCCTGAGAAGCAATCTGACTAAAGTGAGTGGCAAGGCCCATATTAAATCCCATTCAGGCTGCCAGGTGCTAGAGGTGCACCAGAAATTTGGAAAATAAAAAAAAGTCCTCGACCTCAGAGGGAAATAGCCCAAAGCGGGGAAGGGAAACGCAAACATAGACACATTGGACACTTTTGTGCCCTTATGAAACGTAAGTTTATTTTAAAGTAGGTGCCACTATGGCAGGGTGTCCTCAGACGGCCAGGTGAGGGGAGACGTCCAGTGCACAGAGCCTGCCTGGGAGAGTTAAGTGCCCGCCCAGAGACGAGCTATGCAAAAGCCCCAGCCCGGGAGTTCCCACACAGCGGGTGTGCGGCACATGGGAGCAGGAGGGTAGGCGACAGCACGGTCATTGCTCCACTTCTGCTCCTTATCTCTGACCGCAAGTGACGGCACCGCTCCCCAGAAGTGGCCACTTCAAATCAGCGTGCCACCTCCGCCACCAAGAGGCCTCGCTCAGGGAGAGACGGCCCCAGCCTCTGAGACGCCGCGCTGCTGCGGCGCAAACCCTTACCTGAACTCGGGTTTCACACCGATATCTTTCTGCTGAAGATCTTGAAGGCTTCTTGTGATTTTGTTAAAGGCAGCATCCTAACGACAGATTTTAACGAAGCGTCAAATGTCTTACAAAGCACAGAATAAGGCTTCCATCCTGGGTGGGGTCAACCAAGAACCCACCTCACTTGCCTCCACGGTCCCCACGTATTTGAAGATCAGATCGTAGATTTCATGATGGACGTACATCTGTGAAATCAAGGGACCCCAAGTCAGGACGGGTCAGCCACAAGGAGAGCCCCCGACCACCGCCACCCTTGTACGCCTCACCTCGACCGCCTGCTTCATAAGGCTCATCTGGGACTCCTGCTTGGCGAGCATCTTCTAGAAGACAAGAGAGGCACAGCTAAAGAGCTTCCACCTGCCTGGTGACAAGCCTCACTCTCGCTTTCGCAAGTCCTGCTGCTTACCAAGTGAGAGTCCCTCAAAAGCTGCTGGAGGCATTTGGTGTAGAGGGCATTCACTGAGTCCTGTGAAACAGAGCAGAGAGGGACAGGCCACTGTTATACCAGAGGCCAGGATATAAAAGCCCAGAGGCGTGACGCATCCCAGGGCTTGAAGCGCTGATGCAAGCTGTTTTGAAGCAATTACACGATTGATTCAACTTTTTAAAAGGTGTACAAGCATTAAAAGTAGGAAAAATTTCCCCTTGGGGTCCACAGAGATGATAACAATACTCATTTTTATATGGCCCCGTAATTTTTTTTTTGTTTTTTTTTGAGTTGGAGTCTCTCACTCTGTCACCCAGGCTACAGTGCAGTGGCACAGTCACCACCACACCAGAGTCGACCTGCTGGGCTCTGGCAATCCGTCCGCCTCAATCTTCCAAGTAGCTGGAACTACAGGCGTGTGCTACCACACCTGGCCTTTTTTTTAAATTGTGGAGTCAAGGTCTTGCCAAGTTGCCAGGGCTGGTCTAGAACCCATGGACTAAGGCAATCCACTCACCTTGGCCTACCAAAGGGCTGGGATTACAGGCTGAGCCACCGAGCCCAGCTTGTCCCCATAATTTTCAAGTTTTCGATAGTAGCTTTGGTGCTTTCTTTTTTTTGGAGAGACAGAGTCTTGCTCTGTCACCCAGGCCAGAGTGTAGTGGTGCAATCAAAGCTCAAGGCAGCCTCCAATTCCCGGGTTCAAGCAATTCTCCCCCCTCAGTCCCAGTCGAGCAGCTGGGACTACAGGCTCATATCACCGCCCCTGGCTGCACTACACTCACAGGTAGAGAAAAACATTTAAACAAAACTTCCAGCAGCGGAGGCAGCACCAGGCAAAGTTTCAGAGTAAACTGAACGATGCTGGTGCTATGACTTGGGCCGAGACAGGGCGGAGGACAACACAGCTACTGACTATGTGGTGACGGAGGCTCTTTCTTTCACATTCTCGGAATGTTCGGTGGAAAGAGGCAATGTTTCTGTCAAATCTCTCGGAGTGCCTTCCCAGAAATTCTCTCACATCTTCAATGCTTTTCAGGGAAAAGGGATCTGAGGGCGCTGAAGGCTCTTCTGAAAAAGAGACAGAGAGGTCAGGTTGGTTGCAGCCCTCACTGTTTCCTGACAAGAGAAGTTCCACGTTCTTTGTCCTACTCCCATGGGGTCCAGGGTCCCATCTTTCAGGGGCAAAGGTCAAGAGAAGAGAGGGACTGTCCTTAGTTCAAAACACCGCACAAGAACAGTCCCGTGACAGGACAGCCTGGCGTCCAGAAAGCCTGGTCTTCTCAAGGCCTCTTCCTGGGACAAAACCCATGCTCTCTGGGACCATGTGCGTGACCAGTGAGGCTCAGGTGAAGAAGCCCAGATCCTAACAATGAGAGCCTCAGTGTGCACATGGCATATTAGCTATCATCTCAACTGCCCTGGGTAAATGAAGAATTGTTATTCATTTAAAATAATGAGGTCTCAGCTGGGCTTGGTGGCTCAGCCTGTAATCCCACACTTTGGGAGGCCAAGGTGAGTGGATTGCCTGAGTCCGCGGGTTCGAGACCCGCCTGGGGCAACTTGGCGAGACCTCATCTCCACAATAAATCAAAAACTAGCCGGGCGTGGTAGCGCGCGCTTGTAGTTCCAGCTCCTTGGAAGGCTGAGGTGGAAGGATCGCCGGAGCCCAGCAGGTCAAGTCCGTGGTGGCCGGGAGCGGCCACTGCACGCCAGGTCTGGGCGACAGAGTGAGACTCCAACTCAGAAAAAAAATAAATAAATAAAAATAAAACAAAGAGGTCTCAAAGAGGCACAATGGTGAGGCTGGGCGGGTCAGAATGCTGTGAGAGCAAGCCCTAGAGCTGAGACCCAGAAACAAAGCCAGGGCTGCCGCTTCGTGCAACCTAGGGGTGGGGGGGGAGCCTGTTATTACATCGCAGGTTTATCACAGGAACACTGAGGTCTACGGGAATGGTACCTCCTTGAGTTGTGTAATATCCAACCTCTGTCACCAGAAACAGAATCAATATAGCTACGCAGGTTTCTAGGGGGTGTCTGAGTGTTTTCTGGGACACTTAACCCTTTAACAGCTATGTCAGGAAGAAGTTCAACAAACACATTTCTCCAGATCAGGAGAAAAGATGCCAGTAGGAAAGGCAGCGTGGCCTGGCCTCCCTGACCATGGGTGGGCTGGGAAACTGGGCCAGTCCTGACTGGAAACAAAATGGCCTCCTCTGAGAGCCCCCCTGATTCTGCTTAAAAATAAAAATAAAAATGCATAACCCAAAGTCAGCATTGACAATGAGACAAACTGACACTGTGTGACTCCTGACAGGATGCACTGAGATAAAACACCCCCTTCACAGCATTCCTACCAAAAATGCAGAACTATCATCTAACAGCAAGGAAATTACAAAACAAAACAAAAATGTCAATGTCACGAAGGACAAAGAAATACTGAGGAACTATTCCAAACTAACCTGAACTCTCTCTCTTTTCCAACGGATGCGCTATACACAGGATGCTGAAACTTTCTTCTTTTTCATTGTAGAAAGTTTCTTCAAAGAGAATGGGCACTGAGAGAAGACAGGCAAAACCAGCTCCTAATTTAATCCTGTTTCCTTGTATGAAGACATCCTGGAACAAGAAAGCCATCACTGTACCAGTGGCAGGTGCAGACCACTGTCCCCCTCTGGGTCTACCCTCAATACTGCACTTAACCAGACCCTGCCCACCTTCACCCCAGTGTGGGTTTGCTGGGACACAACATTGCCTCTTTTGATACTAAAATGTTTTCTTTCCTCTTGGTTACCTTGTAGCTGTGGCTATAAAGTACCGGATCTTTATCAAATGTTGCAACAGAAAAAGCATTAAGCTATTTCTTGAGTAGAAGAAATCCCCGACCCTTTGGAAAAAGAAAAAAGCGTCTTCCTTTTTCTGTGATTCCTTACTCTCTTGTCTGAGATTAAAATGATCTGCACTGCAATATGGACAGCGCTAAAGAATGCCTGCTACATTCTCTCCACGGCTTTCTCTGGCTGTGGTGGTGTGGCCAGGGCAGTCCGGCTGTGATAAGCCTGATTCTCCACCCTCCTTGCAGACGTGGGTATCCAAAAGAGAACAAGAGCTGTAGTGAGACGGCGCTTGGCAGGAAAACAGTGGTGTGCCTTGTGAGCCTCAGGGCTGCTGACCCCAGGGCAGACTACGTTAAACCCATTCCTCTCTCTCCCAGCACTGCACTCCGAAGCCTCAGCTGCGGAGGCCAACCACAGCACCGATGCCGGTAGGAAGGGCAGCGTGGCCTGGCTTCCCTGACCATGGGTGGACTGGGAAACAGGGCCAGTCCTGACTGGAAACAAAACGGCCCCCTCTGAGAGCTTACCTGATTCTGCTTAAAAAACAAACAAACAAAAAAAAAAACACGCATAACCCAAAGTTAGCATTGACAACGAGACAAACTGACACTGTGTGACTCCTGACAGGATACACTGAGAAAAAGCACCCCATTCAAAGCATTCCTATCAAAAATGCATAACTATCGTCTAATAGCGAGGAAACATCAAACCCACACTGAGGGAGAGTCTGCAAAACAACACACAACAAAAATGTCAACGTCATGAAAGACAAAGAAATACTGAGGAACTATTCCAAACTAAGAAAACTAAAAAGATTAACCGCCAAATGAAGGCACTGTATGATTCTAGATCTAAAAAGAAGAAAAGACAATTTGCTATAAAAAGATATGATTAGTAAAATTAGCCCAATTTGTATAAGGACAGAATGTTGGAGAACACTGTATCAATGCTAAATTCTCTTAGTGCAATCGCTGCATTGTAGTTATGTAAGAGAATGCCTTGTGGTGGAAATACACACTGAACTGTTTTGGGGTAAAGGGCATGGTGCCTGCAACTTAGTCTCAAAAGGTTCAGAAAAAAATAATAATAATGTGGGTATAGACAGAGAGTGATAAATGACCAATCGAGTGCAGACATGGCAGCTCACATCCATAATCCCAGCACTTTGGGAGGCTGAGGCAGGAGGATCGCTTGAAGCCAGGAGTTTGAGATCTACCTAGGCAACAAACCCCATCTCTAAAAAAATTTTTTTAATTATCCAGGCATGGTGTCATGTGCCTGAAGTCCCAGCTACTCAGGGTTCTGAGGCAGAAGAATCACTCGAGCCCAGGAGTTTGACACTTCAATGAGCCACAATCACACCACTGCACTCCAGCCTAGGTGACAGAACGAGACCCTGTCTCTGACAATAAATATAGATCACAGCAGACCAATCTGGAGGAAGAGTGTATGAGAGTTCTTCCGACTCTACTGCAACTTTCTGCACGTTTGAAATTATTTCAAAACTAAAAGTTGTTGAAAAAGAGGCTGGATGTGGTAGTAGCTCAGGTCTGCAATGCCAGCACTTTGGGAGGCTGAGGCAGGAGGACTGCTTGAGGCCAGAAGTTTGAGACTCAGTTTCTAAAAATAAAGGCTAAAAAAAATTTTTAAATATTCATTCTTGATGTACAGGGAGCCAATAAGTCTTCAAGGGCACTGGGATAAAACGGTTTACTCAGACTGGGCTCTGTGGCTCAGCCTGTAATCCCAGCACTTTGGGAGACCGAGGCGAGTGGACTGCCTGAGCTCGCGGGTTTGAGACCTGCCCGGGCAACTTGGCGAGACCTAATCTCTACAATAAATAAAAAAAAATTAGCCAGGCATGGTAGCGCGCGCCTGTAGTTCCAGCTACTTGGAAGGCTGAGGCGGAAGGATCGCCGGAGCCCAGCGGGTCGAGGCTGTGGTGGCCAGGAGCGGCCGCTGCACTCCAGTCTGGGCGACAGAGTGAGACTCCAGCTCAAAAAAAAAAAAAACTGTTTACTCAGACATCACTAGGCGTTTCAGAGACTGCCCTGCAGAAACCCAAACGTCAGCGGCGGGAGCAATGCCCGTCCCGTCCCACCCTCCAGGGTGGCAGCCAGAGTCCTGCTCACTATGGCGGCCTTCCCTTTCCTCCACCACACCCCCCCCAGGCTGCTGTGTACGTCAAGCACCATCATTTCATAAAGATATGAACACTTGAGAAACAGGATTCTCCTCCCTCTCCCTGGGGCCCCAAACGCCGAGCGACCCACCAAGAGATGGGTACCTTTCCGTTTAAGGTCTGAAAGTGCTCTTCCACAGGAGTCAGAACGTAGGACTCAAATTGACAAGCAGACTGAACGCGGCCTGCCAGGCTTCCTCTGCAGGGTACTAAGACCTGGAAGAAACAACAAGAGTGAACGCTGACGGGGTGTGCCATTCACAGCTTCAGCCACACGGGATGATGCTCCAGCAGCACGTGCGGTGGGGACCTGCTGGCCCAGAATGCCTGGGGTCACCGGTCACAGTGGCCACAGTGGGTGCCGGCTGAGTTCACGTGCGGCTGCTGTGACGAAAGCAGGTGCTCCCCGCTGGAGGCAGAGGGAGGCCGGGGACAGGGGACAGCGCAGTCCTTGTCCATCTTCGGACATGGAGGCTGCTGATGGGCTCGTGCTCACATTTGCTGGGTACCCTCCCCCCCCAACTAAGCCTGAGCACCCTTTCTAATCTCAACAGTCCAATTTCAAGGACCAAGAGGCTCAGGAACGAGTCCAGCTGAAGAGATGCACATGAAGAAAGAACAGGAGAGGGAAACTAAAAAGCCACGTAATCCCACCACCCGATAAATACTTCATGTGGAAGGCGGTTTCCTTGCAAAATCCTTTTCCAATTTTTTTTTGAGTCAGGGTCTTGCTCTGACACCCAGGCCACAGAGCAGTGGCACCATCACGGCTCACTACAGTCTTGACCTCCCAGGCTCAGACAATCCCGCCTCAGCCTCCTGAGCAGATGGGACGACAGACATGTGCCGCACCACCACACCCGGTTAATTTGTTTATTTTTTGTAGAAATGAGATCTCGCTGTATTAACCTAGGCAGTCTCAAGTTCCTGGGCTCAAGCATCCTCCCACCTCAACCTCCCAAAGTGCTGGGATTACAAGTGTGAGCCATCATGCCCAGCCACTATGCTTATTTTCTAAGCCTAGTCGTGACCACAGTTTACAAGGATGGGACACTGGCCACAGAAACAGGGCTTCCAATCACAGGCTGAAAGCGCCACCAGGGATGTCTCAGGGTGCCAGACTCTCGCTCCAGGGCAGGTTCAAAGATCCGGTCTGCAACATGCACTGAGGCCTTACCACCAGGCTGGGAGCTGGGAGGTGGCCAACACTGACCTCAAGACCACGGAAATCTCACTTCAGTGGAGCAGACGCTCTCGCAACAGCTGCCAGATACATTTCAGAGATGTCTGGTCCAATCACTGGAAGAACTGATGACCAAGAAGACACACTGCTGGTCTGGAGAAAAACATCACAGACCTCATGACACAGGCTGGGTGGAGGATCTGGAGGGTGGAAACGAGACACCCGGCACACAAAAGAGGTGAAGGTTGCTGATAATTTCACGAAAATCTGGAACATCGCTTTTCCGAGCCTAGAGGAGACTTTTTTTTTTTTTTTTGCAGCTAACGACTACGTGTAGATGCGCTGCATATTACAGAGTGCGCCTTGGACCTTCACCTGCAGTGCTGCCGATTAGTAGACACTAAAATTGTGGTGGTTCCTGCATTAAAAAAATGAAAAAGCAAAATGTGCAAAGTTTTGGTCAGACCACGCTGACTGACTAACTTCCCAGCACGATGCCGAAAGGGGAAGGAGCTCCGTCCCAGCCATCAGGGGGCAGCTCTGTGCTCGGCTCAGGGACTCACAATCTAAGAAGAATCTCACAGACGCGAGTGGACCTGAAAGGAAGATGACTCAGGTGGTGACGCCCTACACAGCCCCACCGCCTAGGCAGCCAGTCCTCGTTCCTGGCTCCTGCACTGTGAAGGCAGGACAGTGTGAGTACCCGTCACACGGGATGGGGGGAAGGTGAGGCACAGCCCCACAATGGGCCAGTCCTGTATCTGGCACCCAGCCCGGCCCTCGATGGGGCACGGCTCCCATTACAACCAGAGGCGGTCCTCCCTTCAACCTCACCGAGCTCTTAAAGCGGCTGCACGGTCCTTGGGGTTTAACCGGTGGCCCTCAGAAAACTGAGGGGCTGCCAGGTGAAGAGGAATAAAAGTCACCAGCCATCCATCCTGGCTGAGTGCACTCAAACATTAGCTGGCCTCCAAGGTAAGGAGCTGACTCCAGCGAGAAACAAAGAAATAAATCAACCGCCCCTCAAGCCCCTTCCAAAGCTAAGACTTAATGATTCAAAGGGTAATACTAAAAATTACTTTTTTTAAAAAGATGCCAAACTATCAAGGGATGTCACAGAAAATGGTGGCGTACGGGGCTGAGCACAGTGGCTCACATCTCTAATCCCAGCACTTTGCACGACCAAGGTGGAAGGCTCGCTTGAGCTCAGGAGTTTGAGACTAGCCTGGGCAATATAGCAAGACCCTGCATCTATAAAAAATTTGTTTAAATTAGTTGGTTGTAGTGGTTCATGCCTGCAGTTCCAGCTATACAGAAGATCTCTCGAGCCCAGAAGTTGGAGGCTGCAGGGAGCAATGATTGCACCATGGTGCTCTAGACTGGGTGACAGAGTAACACTCCCTTATGGGGGGAAAAAAAGAAGAAGAAGAAAAGAAAAGAAATGGTGGGGAAGCTCCAGTTTGAAAAAAACTATCTGACTTCACTATCTTGGAGTTCTGGAACCTGATCACACACTTAGATAGAGGAATGTGGAAAGAAGGGACAGGCTGTGAAACCATCTCCCCCACTCCTTACCACCATCACCCCGCCCTGGCTGTGGGGACAGCAGCCCACAGGCAGAAATGGCCACAGGGAGCCAAGGTCCTCCAAAACATTCAGAGAAGTAGAAAGAATACAATGCATTACTTTCCACACACTCACAACCTGTGATGGCTTTAACACCTGTGACAGTTTGCCACAGTCTGGCATTCTTTAAAGGTAAGAAGAGAAGAGTTGCTTAGCAATGCCATCTTTTTGTTTTGCTTTTGGAGACAAGGTCTTACTGTGTTGCTCAGGCTGGAGGGCAGTGGTGCAATCGTACCTCATTGCAGCCTTGAATTTCTGGGCTCAAGTGATTCTCCAGCCTAAGCCTCCCCAAGAGCTAGGACCACAGACACATGCTACAAGACCAGATAATTTTTTTGTAGAAACAGGGTCTCACTAGGTTGTCCGGGCTGGTCTCAAACTCCTGCTTCAAGCAATCTTCCTGCCTCAGCCTCCCAAAATGCACGGATTACAAGGTGAGCCCCCACATCCGGCCTAAAAATGTCATCTTCAACAGGCCTGTATAATCATGAGCCACGGCTGCCATTTCTTGAGCATCACTATGTGCTGAGTGATTTACACAGCTATCACTTCAGTAAATGCCAAGGCAGGGTAGTTTCTGCACTGTCTTCATTTTATAGACAGGAAAACTAATGCTCAGGGAGTTAAGTAACTTGTCCAGGGTCAGAGCCATAATTCAAACGCAGGTCACCTTCCTGAGGACTGCCCCATTCTGTGGCCTCCTGGAGGCCAGTGCTAGGAGCAGAGGCCAGGGCAGCTGAAGCTTCCTGTGCAGAGACGCCATGAGACCCCACGTGAAGTCCTCTAGAGCACGCATCATCAGAAGCTTCCTCAGGGACATCAGGAAGAGCAGGATGGCCCCTTCCCCCGGGGAGAGGGAAGCTCCCTTGTCCCTCCTCAAAAGATCAAGACCGAATCAGATCAAAATCTGGATTTAACTACCAACTTCAGGAACAGAGGCCCTCGCTAAACACCATGGTGAGGCTGCAACTGGCAAAACGCAGATGGCAGGAAACTTTACAGGATAAACGACCTGATTTCTTCCAGGAACTAAGTGCAAAGAAAGGAAGGCAAATGAGGGAAAGGGAAACTATAATTTAAAAGAAACTTGACACTGTAGTGACGGCGGCACACATCTAAACACGTGCCAACATTGGTCAAATCTTACAGTAAGTATATGGACTTCATTTTAACTCAAGAAAGCTAGGAGGAAAAAAAAGCGACTTAAAAGACCTATCAATCCAATATAATGTGTGGATCTCCTGTGAATTCTGATTTGAACAAACCAACTATAAGACAAAAAAAAAGTAATGAGATAATTAGGGAAATATGAACAGTGACCATTTGACAATACTGAAGAATTACCGAAAACTTGGGTTGGCTGTAATAGTGACACTGTGGTAACATTTTTTAAGAGTCTTTCTCGGCTGGGCACGGTGGCTCACGCCTATAATCCCAGCACTTAGGGAGGCTGAGGTGAGAGAACTGCCTGAGCCCATGGGTTCAAGACCACTCTGGGCAACTTGGCAAGACCTCATCTCTACAATAAATAAAAAAATTAGCTGGGCATGGTGGCGCATGCCTGTAGTTCCAGCTACTTGGAAGGTTGAGGTGGAACGATTACCTGAGCCCAGCAGGTCGAGGATGCGGTGACCAGGAGCGTGCCACTGCCCTCCAGTCTGAATGACGGAGTGAGACTCCAACTCAAAAAAATAAAAATAAAAAGGAGCCTTTCTCATTTAAAAGTACACTCTTAAAGATATTTATGGATGAAATCATACCGAGTTCACAACTGTGGAAGCTGGGAGACTAGTGTGTGGGTTGGGTGTATTCTTTCTACTTTTATATGTTGGAGATGAAACATAATCACCGGAAATGTTAACAGAAAATTAAAATAAAGAAAGGGGAGCCCTTGGGTTTCAGCCTAGAAGTGAGAAACAACCTCAAGGCTCACAGGTGACCCCCCCACCACCACTGCAGTGAGCAGAAAAAGAAAAAAGAGACCAGAAGAGGGGGCCGCAGGCAAGGGCCTGGGATGAGCCAGTCCTGGGTGTTAAGGACCTGAAGTCACAGAGGCCAAGAGGTGGTCACACTTCAGCCTAAGGATGAAGGACTCAGCCGGGCCCGGTGGCTCAGCCTGCCATCCCGCGCCTGTGGGAGGCTGAGGTGAGTGGATGGCCTGAGCCCGCGGGTTCGAGACCCGCCTGGGCAACTTGGCGAGACCTCATCTCTACAATAAATTAAAAAATCAGGCGGGAGTGGTAGCGCATGCCTGTAATTCAGGCTACTGGGAAGGCTGAGGCGGAAGAATCGCCGGAGCCCAGCGGGTCGAGGCTGCGGTGCCGGGAGCGGCCGCTGCCCTCCAGTCTGGGCGACCGAGTGAGGCTCCAACTCAAAAAAAAAAAAGGATGAAGGACTCACATGGCTAGGGGCCTCTGTCTGGCCTCCTGGAACCAGGAGCTTCTAAGAGCCCCGCCTCCCCGGCTTGAATAATGCATGACTGGCCCCTGCCACCCTGTTATCCCTACTGCCCGGGGCCTCCGGATGCACAGTTGGTGCCCAGTCCGTGTCTGCTGAGTAAACAGGGGTCCTCTGGTTTCAGGGCCCCCCACTTCAGTTTTCTGCCAGATACAAAAAGGAGTTCCAGCTTCTCCTGTCAGAGAGACAGAGGGAGGGAGGCCCCTGCTGCTCAGAGTACTCATTGCAGGCCAAAGCCAGCGGCAGGGCTCTCCATCCTGCCAAGACAGGGCAAGGAAGCTAGCCCTGGAGAAGAGGGCAGAGCCACAGAAGGGCACCCGCAGGAGGTGGGTTAACTGCCTGCGGGCACTTCCGTGAGGGAGCCTCCACGTCTGGTGCAGATGTCATGGAGTTGGAACAGCTTATGTGGAGTACACAAAGTTCACAGCTACCAGGCAGACCATAAGGTGGGGATGTACTCATTCCAAAGCTTAACAAAACAACTTCTTATTCTAGCCTCTTTATAATGTTTAAAACAAAAGTAATTAAAGAAAGAAAACAGAATAAAAAGCAAGCATCTACATTAAGGACACCTACGGTGCGTGCCCTCCTGACCCCACAAGAACCCACACTGCCTGCTCTCCTAACGCTCATTCCTCTGGCCTGCACTGGCCTGTTCTAGAATTCCCTGAAGGCATGTTGCTTCCCTGCACACCATGCAACCCTAGAAGCCCAGCACAGTGCATGGCATGCAGTGGATGGCTGATCAAAGTCTACTGATTGAATCTATATGAAAAGAATCCTGAGAACCGGAATACGGCTCAATGTGCCCTCAGCTGGGCTGCAGAGGCACCATGCTTGAAAGTCAGTTCCTGGGAACTTGGAAGACACGGAACCAGGTTCCCAGGCTAGTCCCCAAATGTCTTCATACGCCATAATTAAGGGACCTCAACAAAAGGACCAAACTTAATTTCCTCTGAAATTTTTGTTCTTCCTGTAGATAAAGGGACCCACCAGAAAACCTGGAAGACTCTCCCCTCCCCCCCTGCAGCTCTGTGGACTACAGCCATGGGATGCAGGTGCTGAGAAGCCACAGGTGTATAATTAGCCAGACAGTTATAAGAACAGGTGTGACTGCCAGGAACAGTGAGGGATCACAGTCCTCTGAGATTGAAATTTGGGAGAGAACAGGAGAAGGAGCTTCCCCGGTCCAGTGAGAGAGCAGAAGACAGCAGGAAGGAGACACCGGTCCAGATAGGGGGCGTCCCTAGGAAGGAAGGCACCTTGAGGCGTGGCTGGGGCAGGGTGGGGGGAGTGATCGCACAGAGACGAGGCGGCCCAGCAGCTTGGATGAAGGGAGAAGTGTGCGGGCAAAGAACTCTGCAGGACACATTTTTTTGGCAAGTGATGATTTCACCTTTTTTGGAGCTCCAGTCTAGGACTGATCCCCAGGGTAGACTCGAGGACAGTGGAACTTCGTCCAGTGGCCAAGCTCCATGGAAAGAAATTTGGCATTCACCTACAAAGGCCATGTGGGTCCCTTAGAGGCAACAGAAAGAGGGACCATTCTCCTAGAGGCGACTGGACTGTTCTACTTTTTTATTCAATCCACAGACATGGATAGAGTACAATAGTGGATTGGACAGGGATGGGCCGGTGTCCCCACCTCACAGGCAGCAGGGACAGGTGTGAACCATCCATGTCTGCCCACGTGGAGGTGACAGTGACAGCAGACCCTCACTGCTACTTCTGCTGAGAAGTTGGCCTCGCTGAGTCTCGAGTCCTTGGAACAAGGTCGAGGAAGGCCAGAAATTCATCCTGTGGACTCCATGCACTTGCTCGTGGATGTCAAGAGGGGCTGAGGTGAGGGCCAGGATGCTGCAGGGAACAGGCACAGGATGGCACAGTCTGAGAAGAGTCTCCCACTCTCCCATGTGCCCAAAGGAAAGGTGACCGAGATGGTAATGTTCTTACTCTAAATTCCCCCTTTGCTGAGGTAGGCTTGAGTGGGAGCCCATGACCCACGGCTGAAAAAGCACCTGGGTGACAGGCACTATACTGAATGCTGGCGACACTGGTGAGCACGACAGATGCGCAGACATACTGAGAAACAGCAGTAGGCCACAGTGAGACATTGCCTTGAAGCTAGATAAGTTACATATGATATGCTCTTACCTAGACAGTATTTTTTACATATCACAGAACAAAGATGGGGAAAAAAAGAAATAGGCTCCAAATACTGTCAGGCCTGTTCCATGCCTGCTTTCCACCCTGTACTTTTCCTCTGTGAAACTCACCACCCCTGTAATCAGTATGTACCTGTCCAGTGCATGACTGTCTCTGACACTAGAATTTAAGCTCTACACCTATAATCCCAGCACTGTAGAAGGCTGGAGGATCCCTTGAGGTTAGGAGTTTAAGACCAGCCTGGACAACATAGCAAGATCCCATCTTTACAAAAAATAAAACACTTAAAATAATTAGTCAGGAGCGGTGGTGTGCGCCTGTAGTCCCAGCTACTTAGAAGGCTAAGGTGAAAAGACTGTTTAAGCCTAGGAGATCAAGGCTACAGTGAGCTACGATCATGCCACTGCACTCCTAGCCTGGATGACTGAGTGAGACCGTATCTCTAAAAAAAAGAGTAATAACAAGCCCACGGGGGTAAAGGCCATTTCTTGCTGACTCCCCTGCATCGAACCTAGTGCCTTACACACAACACCATTTAGTGACTCACCATGCATGTCTCTGGTGAGCCTTGCAAGATTTCTATTTTCTCCTTTGGAAATACCTACATTCTCTCATTTGCTTAAATAACGAACTTTATGACTGCTAAAATATAGAGTAAGAAAATTGTGGTAAAGGAAAATGGATCCCCAAACTAATCATAAAAACCAGAAGGGACGGCAAGAAACCAGGCCCTGACCGCAGAGGAACAGCACCAGTAAAGGGTAAGTCAGTTCCAGTTTTCCAGAGGCGGCCGGGAACTGCAACTCCCCTGGGCTCACCTGACTTCTCCCTCAGTCTGAATCCTCAGCGGCCTAACACGCCTGAGTCAGGCCCACTGCAGGGCCAGAGAAGTGGGTGCCCAAGTATGAAAGAGGAGGGGAACACACGAAGAAAAGACGGAAGACCTCTCAAGCAGAGGCCGCAGGTGACACGGCACACCCAGCACACCACACCCTGAAGAGCTCTCTGAATGAGATGCCACCGAGTCCACTGACCTGAGACCTGGGAAGACTCCAGCCCGGGACCTGTCCTCCCTTCAGGCAGATGCCCCCACCGACAAGCTACCATCTCTCCTGCCCGCTTCTTTTATTCCCGTTACCTGGCTGCCCCTGCAGACGTCTGAGGTTGTGGCCTCTGTCATAAAAGTTCTTGCATCACGGCTCCTTTCCTTTGGGAAAAAGCCTTTCCAAGCTGTGTAGGAACGTGTGCAACACATTCCCTTATTATAGGGAAGAGAGCCACCACCTCACAGGCAAGGACTCGTGAGGCCCCGAGGAGGAATTGACTTCTGCCCCGGAGAAGCCCTCACAGTCAACAGAGAAACAACAAAGGCAGAGGTGAACACCACAGGGTGAGACTGCAGTGTCACCAGGGGTGCTCCACGGAAGGGCACGGCTAGTCACAGACAGGGGGCCGAGAGTTCAGAGAAAGGGTTACACCCTAGGCTGCAGTCCCAGGAGGCCTCATGGGAGCCTCTTGCCACTCATTCATGGAGCAAGCAAGCTCTGAGGGCTTGTTAAACCCAGTAGGGTTGTAATGGACTTCCGCTAAACGTAACCTCGGTCTTCTGCATTTCTGGCACCACCTGCGCCTAAGGGCAACCTCAGGATCAGTGCACTCACAATGCCATGGATTTGGGCCACCCTGCTGCACAAGTCGGGACGCCACTTCTGGAGAGCCAGATAGAAAGGGTTTTTCAGGAGATCTTCATCATACAGAGCCATATGGACTTCAGATGGGTCAGAGGGCGTTTCCTGCAACAAATAAGGAAAAAACAGCAAATGGGCACTTCCAGATTTACAGAATACACAGAAGTCTGCATCTGGTTATTTCTTTTTGTTTTGAGTAGGAGTCTCACTCTGTCACCCAGACTGGAGTGCAGTGGCAGCCTCGACCTGCCGGGCTCCTGCGATCCTTCCACCTCAGCCTTCCAAGGAGCCGGAATTACAGGCATGCGCTACTACGCCTGGCTGACTTTTTGATTTATTGTAGAGATGAGGTCTCGCTGCCCAGGGGGGTCTTGAACCCGCGGGCTCAGGCCATCCACTCACCTCAGCCTCCCAAAGGCGCGGGATTACAGGCTGAGCCACCGAGCCCAGCTGCATCTGGTGATTTCTAAACAGCATTCTTGGGGTCGGGGGGGCGGGGGGCGGGGGAGCATCCTTGACACGTATTATTCTGCGCTACAGACTTAACACTCCATCAAGAACTATCAAATATCATCTACCAATTCCAAGATGACCTACTTACATCAGTTAAATGTGTGAATTATGTTCAGAATACCTTGTTAAACTCCAGCTCATGGCAAAAATAAAAATGGCTATTTTAAAAATTTTTATTCTTTTGAGTCAGGTTCTCACTCTGTCACCCACGCTAGAGTACAGCGGCACAATCATGGCTCCCTGCAGCCTCGACTTCCTGGGCTCAGGGGATTCTTCTGCCTCAGCCTCCCAAGTAGCTGGGACTACAGGAGCGTGCCACCTTGCCCAGCTAACTTTTTATTTTTATTGTTTTTGTAGCGACAAGGTCTCACTATATTGCCCAGGCTGGTCTCAAACTCCTGGGCTCAAGTGAGCCTCTCACCTCGGCCTCCCAAAGTGCTGGAATTACAGGCAGGAGCTACCACACCCAGCTAAATGACTATTTTTAGAACATCCTACAGGACCAAAATTATACATTCTAAAGATACTCATGTATTTTTAATGAAATATCTTAAGTACATGGAAAAGTACTGAGTAATAATGCAAACCTACCACCAGAATTAAGGAGTTTTAACATTTTGCTATATTTGCCTCAGACTTTAAGAAATAATGTCTATCAGAGTAGACCAGAATCCCCCATAGCCCTCCCTGATCCCTTTCTCTCCCCTTTCAAAGGCAATCAGTGTCCTGAAGGTGGTGCATAGCTTTCCTGCCTGTATTTCTATTCCTTTAATACTTACATAGTCACAAACAATAAAAAGTATTGTTTTGTGAGCTTCAAAATGTACATAAACTACAACACATGTATTAGGGCATTATACTCTAATCTAGAACATGCCTATTTCAGTCAACATTAGATGTTCAAGTTCCCTCCATGCTGAACTATCACATAGCTCTCATTCGTTCACTGACTTCTGTTGTATTCTTTTAATTGAACATGTCGCAATTTATTTATTTAATACCCAAGTATTTAAGTTGCGGCCGCCTCTCAGGATTACAAACAGTGCTTCAAGGAACACCTTTATAGGCGTGTTCATTGAAGTGCTCCTTGAACACATCCTGAAGTGTGTGCCCAGGAGAGACACTGAAGGGTGCATTCATCTGTAACTGTGGCAAATGCTGATAATGCTGGACCCCTGTCTACGTCTGTAAAAAGCATATTAGCATTCCTCTTCCTCCTATCCTAACCAACACTTCTTGGTACCACCAGATTATTTAATTTCTGTTAGTCTGTGTTGTGATCTGAATGTATGTGTCCCTCCAAAATTCATGTTGAAATCCTAACCCCCAGGTGATGGTACTAGAAGGTGGGGTTCTTTGGGAGGTGAGTAGGTCATTAGGGTGGAGCACTCATGAAAGGGATTCGTGCCCTTATGAAAAAGGCCTGAGAGAGCTCCTGTGTTCCTTCAGCCATGTGACCTGACAGAGAAAACATGACTGTCTGTGAACCAGGAAAACAGGCCCTCACCAGACACTGGGTCTGCAACACTCCAATGGACTTCTTAACCTCCAGAACTGTGAAACATAAATTTCTGTTGTTTTTTAAGCCATCCAGTCTATGGTATTATGTTATAGTAGAATTGACTAAGATAGTCTATGAGTATAAAGTAGTGTCTCACTGTTTTCAATTTCATTTCTATCAGATTTCATTAATCATCAATTAAATGAATTAAATTCCTTTATGTTCTGTAAATTGCCTTATCATGTCTTTTACCTGCTTTTCTATAGGTTGCTAGTCTTTATCTTCTAATTTATAATTATTTATATATCCAGATACTAAAATATGTTGTAAATCTCTTCTCCCAGTCTGCAACTCACTTTCTCATTTTTCCTTTTTTTTTTTTTTTTTTGAGTTGGAGTCTCACTCTGTCGCCCAGACTGGAGTGCCATGGCCGCTCCCGGCCACCGCAGCCTCGACCTGCTGGGTTCCGGTGATCCTTCCGCCTCAGCCTTCCAAATAGCTGGAACTACAGGTGCGCGCTACCACACCCAGCTAATTTTTGATTTATTGTAGACACAAGGTCTTGCCAAGTTGCCCGGGTGGGTCTTGAACCTGTGGACTTCGCCTTGGCCTCCCAAAGTGCTGGGATTACAGGCTGAGCCACCGAGCCCAGTCTCATTTTTTCAAAGTTTTTTTTTTAAGTCAGGGTCTTGCTCTGTTGCCCAGGCTGGAGTGCAGTGCCATGATCACAGCTCACTGCAGCCTCCCACTCCTGGACTCAAGTGTTCCTCCTGTGTCAGCTTCCTGAGTAGCTGGGACTACAGGTGCACACTACCACGCCCAGCTAATTTTTTAATTTTTTGCAGAGACGAGGTCTTCCTATGTTGCCTACACTGACCCTGAATTTCTGGGCTCATGCCTCCACCTCCTAAAGTACTGGGATTACAAGTAGGAGCCACCATGCCCAAACTTCAAATAGGTACTTTGAGAAACACACACGTTTTTCTTGCAATGTACAATCCTCCCCCAGTATGCACGGAGGATCGGTTCTAGGACCCAAGTCCGAAGTAGGCCATATAGAGCCCATGTGTGCAAAAAGTTGGCCCACCATGTGCACTAGTTTCACATCCTGTGAATACATCCAATCAAGCCGGGCTCAGTGGCTCAGCCTGTCATCCCACGTCTTGGGAGGCTGAGGTGAGTGGATTGCCTGAGCCCAGGGTTGGAGACCCGCCTGGGCAACTTGGTAAGACCTCATCTCTACAATAAATCAAAAATGAGCCGGGCATGTTAGCGCGTGCCTGTAATTCCAGCGACTCGGAAGGCTGAGGCGGAAGGATCGCCAGAGCCCAGCAGGTCAAGGCTGCGGTGGCCGGGAGCGGCCACTGCACTCCAGTCTGGGCGACAGAGTGAGACTCCAACTCAAAAAATAAAAAATTCACCCAATCAATCTGTGTTTGGCTGAAAAATACCCACATACCAGTGAACCTACACAGTTCAAGCCCAAGTTGTTCAAGAGCCAACTACAGTTGGGTTTGTCTACCTTTGCCTTTAGGGTCAGTGCTTTCTGGATCTCAGGGAATCTGTAGTTGACACGTCTATTCTCGGGTGTACCCCTTTGCCAAGTGACTTCACCAGGTAGGGTCTGTTTTCCCAGCCCCCGAATCTGAGTCAGCTCCATGACTTGATCCAAGCAACAGACATAAGCGACGTCGTGTGATTTCTGAGTGTTAGCCTCAAGGAGCCTGTAGATTCCACTTGGTTTTCTTGGAACTCCAAGGTCACCATGCTGTGGAGCGGCCCACGTGATGGAAGGCCACAGAGAGGAGAAAGAGGCCTGGGTGGGCCAGTGGGCACAGCCAACCTCCGGCAGAAGACAGCCCTGCCCTGCGAGTAAGACCAGGTGAGACCAGCAGGGGAGCCAGCCAGCCAACCCACATAACAGTGGAAACAGTATATAGTGGCAGTTTTAAAGCACCGAATTTTAGGTTGGTCTGTAATGCAGCAAAGGCTACCTGAAATCACAGCCTTTCCGATTCCAAAGCCATGAAGATAGTCCCTATAATTCCTAAAAACATTAGCGTGTTCTATTTTTAGGTCTTCAATCCATCTGGATTTTGTTTTTGTACATGCGATAAAACAGGCCTCTAATTTTATTTTTCCATACGGTAAGCCAATCATCCCGGTATCTTTTTTTTTAACATCCCGGTATCTGTCTCTTTCACATGGGTTGATAACGCTACCTATGTCATACTCAAGATTCCACATACGTTTGGTCTGTTTCTGGGCTCTACCCCCTTTCAAAGGACTCACTGTCACATGTGAGAAATATAATTATATGTACATTACATATAATTTCATATGTACCTTAAAATTTTTCCAGTAACCATATTAAAAAGAAACAGGTGCAATTAATTTTAATAATATGCTGTACCTTAATATATCCAAAATGTTGTATTTTCAATATATGATCATTATTTTATTTGCTTTCTTTTTTCTTTTGAGTTGGAGTATCACTCTGTCACCCAGACTAGAGTGCAGTGGCCGCTCCTGACCACCGCAGCCTCGACCTGCTGGGGTCCAGTGATCCTTTCGCCTCAGCCTTCCAAGTAGCTGGAACTACAGGTGCGCGCTACCACGCCCGGCTCATTTTTTGATTTATTGTAGAGATGAGGTCTCGCCAAGTTGCCCAGGCAGGTCTCGAACCTGTGGGCTCAGACAATCTACTCACCTCAGCCTCCCAAGGCTTTATTTACTTTCTAAAGACAGGGTCTTTCTATGTTACCCAGGCTAGAGTACAGGAACAACTCATATGCTCGATCACAGTGCACCACAGCCTTGGACTCTACCTCAAGTGATCCTCCCACCTCGCCTCCTGAGTAGCCAGGATCATAGCAATGTGCCACTGTGCCCAGCTGGATCATTATTTTAAAATCATTAATGATATGCTTTACATTCTTTTTTATTCTTGCTATTCTTAGTATTCAAAATCTGGTGTATAGCTTACATTTCTAGCACCTCTCAGTTCCTACTAGCCACATTTCACGTGCTCAGTAGCCACTAGCAACCAGTGTATTGGATGGAGTGGGGACAAACAC